GACGCCTTCTGCCTGTCGGGTAACTGCCCAGGCCCTGGAGCCGTCTGCGAGGATGGCACGCAGGCGCGGTTCTCCGGGCGGGGCGGGGGGCGGGGGGGATACCTGGGGCAGACACGTGCACGGAAGGCCGTGAGGAGGAGCTGTCACTGGTGTGTGCGTGGATCCGGCCTGGCTGGGGGTGCAGACCGGGGAAGGGCTGGTTTAAATCGGGGAGCTGGGTTAGTCTGGAAAGAGTGGGCGGCCATGGGGGGACCAACCTTGTCCCAGCTTTAGGCCGGAAAGTCCTGGAAACCTGTTCAGGCCCTGGCGAAGCGGGACAGCCCGTGCCCTGGAGCAGTCCCAGCACGGAACCAGAACAAGGAGTGACTTCCTTCGAGAACGGAACAGTCTGCACCAGACACGGGCTGCTTGGGGTGTCGGGGGTGGGGTGGGGTGGGACCAAGGAACCAGCTGCTCAGAGAGGAATGTGGGGGCACCAGGGAGTTCAGGTCTGCAGCCTGGGAGGCGGCCGCTGCAGAGCAGAGATGGTGGCGAGAGGGAGGGACGCTTGGGAGTGGGGGGAGGAGTGGAGAGGAAGTGCCACCGTGGATGGCCTCATTCTGGCCTGGGGACGGCGGGTGGCGTGTGACGAGTGGATGTCGGCCGAGGGGTGGGTTCAGAGGGCAGCCCTCAGGCGGTCAGCGCCCCCCTCGCTCTTTCTCCTCGTTCTATCTGTTCTCAGATTCCCTCCTGCCTTGTGATCTTCACTCATGTGGGGCCACCCACCGTCTCGGGTGGGTCGGGGGTGACCAAGCTGAGGGTGGGATGCAAAGTCATGTTCGGTGTCCCCTGTTGGCCAGGGACTGGGACTTGCGTCTGGTCGCCAGCGAAGCCTGGACTGCTGGGGAGGGAGCTGCCCCAGCCGAGGACTCGGCTCCCTGCTGACTGTGGAGGAGGCCGGCCCCGCGCCTGGGAGGGCTGGGCGGTGTCTGCCGGGGCAGCCACTGTGCCAGCCAGGCTGAGCGAACGAGGGGAGGGAGGCCCGCAGTAGCGGGCGGCCGGGGAGGTGCTGGAGGTCTTCGTGGTGGCGGAGACAGCGAGCCGTCCCTCCAAACCGCTGTCCCCTGGCTGTGGGTCTCTGGTCCCAGCCAGGCCCCGTCCCCAGCCCTCCTCGTAGCTGGGTTGGCCCTGTGGCTCTGACACAGCCAGTGGGATGGAGGAAGTGTCAGGGGCCACTCTGGGGAAGGTCCTGGGGAGGCAGACGCAGGCCTGTCCTTGCTCCTTCTCCCACATTCTGGCTGCAGAAACGCAAATGTGACGGACGGAGCTCAGGCAGCTCTCTTGGTCTGTGAGGAAGGAGAGAGGCTGGAGATGCTCTGGGAGACGGACAGACAGGGCTCAGGGTGCTGCTGACGTCACAACCCCCCCTCCCGGACCGCCTGGCCCTGCACTCCTTTTATGTGAGCCAGAAAGAAGCTCCTCTCTGATCACATAGGCCGCTGACGTCCTCTCCCGAGTCCCTCTGACACCATGGCTAGACGTGGTGCTAACTGGGGCACTGCTGTAGGTGGGACACGTGGCGGTGGGCCAGGGGGAGGTGCCGTTCAGGGGGTCTGGGCTGGCAGCGCGTCCAAGTGGTGACCAGGCCCCAGTGTGGGCTGGGCCTGGGCGTTGATGCGGGGTCAGACAGGGGGCCCTGGGGGGGAGAAGGAGTCGGCAGGCTGGCATGGACCCCGAGCTCTTCTGGGAGCTGCAGTGGAGGGGGAGGGCAGGGGAGAGGGTGGTGCCAGGGCTGAGGGCCTGGGGCCTGGGGCCCCGAACAGGCAGTCCTGTGATGGGCAAGGGGAAAAGCCCTGGTCAGGGCAGGACCTGGAGCCAGAAAACCCCACTGAGTGCTTGCCCCGTGGCACCTAAGAAAGTGGGGTCCCTGGCGGGGGCGTTCAGTGGTGGCTGAGTGGCTGGGGCTGCATCCCCAGAAGCTGAGGGAGGGAGCAGGGAGGTGGTGCACGAAGGGATCTGCAAGGACGCAGTGGGCGGGGCTGGGGGGGTGGGGGCGGGGGGAGGGGCAGGAGAGGCCGCTGGCAGAACGAGGGTTTGATGCACGTGGCGGTTTGGATCCCTAGAATGCCTGAGTCAGAGGTCTGGGCTCTCTCCTGAGGCCCCTGCCATTCAGAGAAGCTTCTGGACTCTTCTGCAGGCTCCCTCAGAGAGAGTCCGATGTTCCCCGTCCAACAGACCCCAGGCTGGACTCTGGCTGTCACGCTGTGGCCGGACGACCAGTGCGCCTCCTCTCTCTTGCCCCTGAGGTGGGAAGGCAGGGGCCACTCTGCAGAGAGCCTCCGGGGCAGGGACCGGCGTGGGAAAAGTCCCCGGGGAAGGGAAGCTCGGCTGTTTGCCGAACTTGGCCAGTGTGCTGAGAGCATCAACATGGCCCGGGCTGGCGGGGAGTTCAGAGATGACGGCGGGGCCCGCTCATGCGGATCTCTGAGGCCCAGATGAGGCGTCTAGGGTTCCATTATGAATGCGCCGGGAACTCCTGGGAGGTGTGGAAGGGGGCGGTGCAGTGAAGTGACCTGATTTGGTTCGGGAGCGATCGTCCCCGTGGCTGAGTGGGGAGCAGACCGGAGGGGGTCAGGAGTGGAAACAGGGGGACCAGGCCTGGCTGGGGGGGGGCACGCGGCGGCAGCGGGACAGAGCTGGGGGCCACCATGTGAAGCACTTGAACTTCCCCGTGTGTCTGTCTGCTCACCGCCCCAGCCTGGGGGCGGGGGGTGCCTTCTGTGTTCGTCAGTGACTGTCCGCTAGCTGCGGACGCCGCCAAACCTCAGAGGCCCAGCACAGTGGAGGCTTTGGTGTTGATCGTGTCCCAGCCCGGCGTGGGCTGTTCAGGCTTCCCTGGGGCTGTCCACGTGGGCTCTCCACTAGCTCCAGCGGATCCTTGCCGGGGAGAGAGGGGTGGAGGAGAGACCCAGAGGAGGGTCCAAGGAGGCCTTCCAGGCCCGGGAGGAGACTAACTCACGTCCCCCCACGTCCCACCGGCCAGACGCAGGTCACCTAACTGCGAGGGAGCCTGGGGTATGGGGTCTACCAGATGCCCAGCAGGGAGTGGGGACACGCTGCCGCCTTCTCGCTGATGTGTCCCCTCCCTCGTGGCCCTACGGCCAACGTTTAGGTGGAGGGTGGGAAGACTGTGCCATGTGGACATTCTCCAGGCTCCAAATCGCCCCCCAAGATGTCCCGACCTGAGCCCCTCGAGAAGGTGAGACCCACCGGGCCTGCGGTGGGGACGATGATGCGTGTGCGGCCTGTCCCCTGCCCCGGTTTGGTTCCACCGTCGCAGCCCCCCTCTGGGGCGCCTGGCGGGTGAGAGACACCCCCCTTCCCTCGCCTGGTCCTACCACGTGGCCTGCGGGCTGCTCGTAAAGAAAGGCCCATGCCTGTCACCTCGGGCTCCTCTGCACCTGGCTGGGCCGCCAGGACACCCTTGGGTGCTCGGCACAGGTTCGCTGAGCAGATGGCAGGAAAGAAGGGAAAGGCGCAGAGGAGGAGGCCGGGCCTCGGGCAAACAGGAGGGGCGGGCCGAGGCCCGGGCCGTCCCCAAGGGCAGCGTGGGTGCCAAAGGCTGCGTCGCACCAGTTGGGTTCCTGGTTCCTGGCTTTGCCCGGGGATGGGTTCTGTTCTTTGTTTGTGTTTTGAAGTTACACCTGAATGTGCACGTTCTGGGGGCAGGAAATACGTTCTCGTGGTGCAGAAGGCTTGACGGTGAAAAGCAGCCTTCCTGCTCCTGCCTCACCTGGCTCTCTGTCCCAGGAGAACCAACATTCCTGCTTTCTTGAGAAGCTTCCGGAAACAGCTCTTGGCTAGTAGTCACATCTGGGTGGTGGTTGTGCTGTTACCCTCCCCTGCAGCCAGAAAGCCTTGCTGGGCCTGGGGGTGGGGGGTGGGAGGGTGGGAGAGAGGGGGCCGGCCTTTATTGCAGGCCCCCCACCCCCGCCCGCCCCCGTCTCCACACTCATGTCACATTCCAGACATACCTACCGCCCCACGACAGGCCCACGGGCGCGGCCAGCCCTTCTCAGCTTCCAGGAGGCCCTGACTCAGGCCTCCCAGGCCGGAGGCACTTCCCGCTCGGAAGGGAGTCGGGCCTGGTTCTCAGGGTCTTGCCTTTGGCCCTCTTGCTTGGGGGGCTCTGGTTCTGCAGAGCCGCTCTGCCCCCGCCCCTCCCCCTCCCGCTGGCCTCATTCCCTTCTGGGAAAGAGGCAGCTGCTTACAGGCAGGGCTAGTAAAATCAGGAGAGAGGGGAGCTGCTTCTCTGCGGGGCTGACGCCACGTCACAGGGTCCCCGGGCCCAGGACACCCCGAGCGCATAGACATAGAAAAGGAGCCTTACAGGCCCCTTTTCTGAAGAGGGGCCTGTAAGTTTCTGTCCTTGAATAGAAGCTGACCTGAACCAGCCTCCTCCCCCTCAAAAAAGGACCACGGCTGGAGAGGAAGTTTCCGTACTGGCCATCAGATTCTTCCTTCGCAAAGCTCCCCCAAAAGTCACCCCCGAATGCTGGAGCAGGGGCCTCCCTGGGGGGGCCGGGGGAGAAGGGAGGCCCCAGAGAGATGGGTTTGATGAGAGTGAGGAGCCCTGGGGGGCACCTGGAAGGGTCGTGTCTGTGTGAGGCCGGGGTTCGTGGGCGCGTGTATGACCGGATGAAGGTGTCAAAGGTGGCCGGTGTGGGCCGGGGTGGGGGTGGCATAGCAGGGACATGAAGGGTCTTTGCCCCCTCGGGCTCCTGTGTGCAGCAAGGTGTCTATCTGAGGTGTGTGTGTGCTCACACTGCTTCGACACCCACGCCCCCCAGCCCCGCCCGCCCCCGGAGGAGGGAGATCTTATCTGGCCCCTAGGTGCTCCGGGAGTTTCAGGCTTTCTCAGCAGCCCCGACTCTCTGGCCCCCCCCACCTCCACCCCCAGGCCGTGCCCCCTCCAGCCTCTGCACAGGAAGTAGGCTGGCCCTATAAGCCTGCTCCGTGAGTCGCCAGCGCCAGAGCCGGAGCAGGGCCCTGGGGAGATGGCTGTGGTCTCGGCCGCAGAGAGGACCCGAGAGAACGCGCCGCGGCCCCATGTCTCAGCCAGGTGATATGCCACCTTGCCCTGCCCTGCCCCCGCCCTGTGCCCTGGCACTGGTAGCTCTCTCTCTCGGCCCCTGCCACCGGTCCCAGGGCCACTGGAAGTCAAGGTCTCGGGGATGGGGCCCACACTGGGGAGGCTCCCCTGTGAGTGCTGCTGAGGAGGCTTGTGGGGCAAGGGAGGACCCCGGTTGTGGAGTGGGGGTGCCAGGAAGTCTTCAGGGTTCAAGTCTGGGCTGGCCCACCGTGTCCCCAGGATCCACGAGGTGGGGGGGGATGCCCTTTCTGGGGCTGCCTGGAGGACTGCTCTCTCTTCTCCTGGGGGCGGAGGCCTCCCGCCCTTAGCTGTGTTTGGAGCAGTGGGAGTGGGCCTGTGGGTGGGCGGCGGGGGGACAGAGCCATGGTTAAGGTCTCCTTCTGCCCCCCACAACCAGGATCCCATACCTGCTGGGCAGGTGCCCCCCGGAGTGAAACAGCGTGAGTGGGCCGTGTGTGTGTGTGTGTGTGTGTGTGTGTGTGTGTGGGTGTGTGTCGGGGGGGGGAGTGCTCAGAGGGGACGAGGGAAGGAGGTGTCTACCAGGTTCAGAGGCCGGGTGGGATTCATCGCTGGCTACCGCCCTCCTGCTTCACACCCTCCCCCAGCCCCCAAGAGCCCCCCTCATGCCTCCGTGTCTGCCCCCTGGAGCCTCTGCCACACCCGGCCGGGGTCAAACCCCCGGCTCCCCCAGCCTCCAGCCCCGGCAAGAGGCTCGCTGCCTTGTGCCTCAGGCTCCTGGCCTGAGAAAAGGAGTCACAATAGCACCGCGACTGTGAGTCGGTTGAGGACTGAATGAGGTGATATCTGAGAAACGCTAGTGCCGGGCTCGGAGCGGGGCTGCATATTAGTCACCCTGGGCCTCTTCTTCTAACGTGAAATCAGATGACCTGGTTTGAGTCGGGCCCCTGGGCAGCTCCTTGTTTCTTTGCATCTGTCAGAAAGGAGCCAGTGCCGCCCACCCCTTGGGCTGTGACGGGACCCGGTGAGTCAGTTGGTGCGCACGGCCCTGCAGAGGCCAAGGGCGCGCATCGGTGCGTGTGGGGGCCCCGGAGGCCGGTGCTGGGGCTCGGAGGTCTGACTGGTCCTCCCTGAGGCCCGGCCTCCGCCTCCTCCCGTGAACCTTGCCGCACCCTCTGCCTGGGGCGCTGGGAGCTCTTGATAATGCCTCTCCTCTGGCCGCGCTCGCCCCTGCTGGGACTGCAGCTGCGCGCTGACCTTCTCGCAGTTTTCCGTGCCTTTGCCCTGCACTTCCTCTCACGCTGGGGCTCTGTGTCCTGTCTTTTACTGGGCACGGGCGTGCCTGCTGGCCAGGATCTGGCCCCAGGTGACGCCCCTCAAGGGGTCCATAGTATCTGTGCCCCAGGGTCGTGATGGAGCGACCGAGGGCAACAGGGGGCTTGCTGGGAGCCCTGTTGCTGGGCTCTGTGCCCTGCGGGGGCCCAGTGCTATGCCCTGTGACATTGGTGGGGGTCCAAAGAAAGAGGCCACCAGCCCCACCCTGGGGAGCTCACCCTCTGGCGGGGATGGTGGGCCAGGCGTGGAGGAGCCCACACCCACGGGGACCTCTCGGGGCTCCTTCCCACACTGGGCCAGCTGCCGACCGCTGGCCTGTGCCCGGGGTAGGGAGGCCATCGGCCTTACCTCTGGGACCAGTGCCCGGGACAGGGGCTGGGCAGGGTAGAATGGCGTGAGAGAACAGGCTTTGGGACCGAGTGCGGGGATTGGATCCCGGCTTGGCCTCTTCTGCACACGTGACCTTGGACAAGTTCATGCCGTTTCCTTGTCTGTGTAAGGGGAGAATACCAGCACCCCCAAACCCCCACCTGCTGGGCACATGAGCAGAGCCCGTGCGCCAAAGCACCAGGCGAGCGCAAGGGCTCAGCACCCGCAGTGAGCGCCATTGCAAGGTCACTGGCCTGCGTGCCCTCCGGTGGGTGGGAAGCCACAGTCAGACGTCACGGGAGGGGCCCGACCTTCGCCCCGGGCCGTCCGCGCTGACTCAGACCCAGTCCGCCTCTTACCGGCGGTGCGGCCTCGGGCAGCTGGCTCTTCGCCTCCCCGTGCCTCAGTTTCCTCACCTGAACATGGGGACAGTAAGACTGTCTCCAACAGACGCTCTGGTTGCTGCAAGTGAAGAGTTTAAAACAGAGCCTGGCGCACAGAGCGTCCTCACGGGCGGCGTCAGCGGGGTGAAGGGAGCCGGAGAGGCCCTCGCGCTGGCCGCTCTTGGTGGCCTTGAGCAGCTCTTTTCCTTTCCTGAGCCTCAGGGTCTCCAATTTTGAACAAGCGGCTCGGCCTCCCCAAAGAGCCCTTTCGGCAGCAGCGCCCACGTGTGTGTGTGGGTCCCGGGACGTCTGGAGGAAGGGAGTGAGCCTGGGTGGGGCGGAGGCCCGCAGGTGCAAAGGCCCTGGGGTGGGGCTGCGCTGTGAGGTGGAGAGCAGACCTGCGCCCCCGACAGGGGTGGGTGGGGGTGGGTGCTCACGCGTGCTCGCCCCCTCTTCCTCCCTCAGGGCTCCCTTCCCCAGCCCCCACCTGTGGATGTAATGGCGGCTCCTGCTCTGTGCTGGCGTCTGTCCCTCCTCCTCTTCCTCCTGCCCCTGCCCATCCTTGGGGCGTCCACAGCGGTGAAAGGTGAGGATCCCGGCATCTGGACATCTGTGCCCAGGTCCCTCATCAGGGGCAGGAGGCAGGGAGGAGGGAGGCAGGGAGGAGGAGGGCAGGGGACAATGGGACCAGAGATCAGGGGTCCACTTCCCCCCTCCCCCTCTGCCCCACCCCCACGTGGCCTCTGCAAGCCACAGGGGGACACTGGCCTCTTGTCCCTGCCCCGCTTTGCCTTGCCCGTGGGGACCGTGCAGTGTCTGGGGCTCCGTTTGGTCCTCTCTGAAACGGGCCGCGCACTGCTTCTCTGCCCGTCCTCCTCGGGCAGGCCGAGGATGCCAGGGGCAGGGGCGGCGGGGGGGCCCCGAAGGGCAGGGCAGGGCAGGGCGGGGGGGCACCCTGCACCGGCCGCTCACACCCCATCTTGCCGGCAGACACCCCCGAGCTCACATGCTTCTACAACTCCCGAGCCAACATCTCCTGCATCTGGAGCCCGGGGCGGGGCCTGCCGGACCCTTCCTGCCGCCTCCACGCGAAGCCGCGGCAACGGTGAGGGTGGCGCCTTGGGACAGTGGGGTCTCACCGCCGCTGCCAGGCAGGCTCTTGGAATCCTAACTCTTAGACTCCGAGACGTCTTCACTTTGAAAGCCTTGGGTACACGGAGGCCACAGACTCTCCTTATGACAGGGGTCTGGAAAGCTCAGGAGTCGGATGTTTAGACTGCTGGGACCTGGAGGGGAGGAGGGTGGTGTGTGGGGCCAGGCCGGAGAGGGGCTGGGCAGGGGAGACCGGGGACGTGGCTTTGAGCTCGCTCTGCTGCGGCCGGACGAGGCTTTAGAGGCAAAGGGGGAAGGAGGGAGGATCCCAAAGCTCCTTGAGTAAGCCGGGATTTTTTTTTAAGATTTTATTTATTTATTTTTTAGAGAGGGAAGGGAGGGAGAAAGAGGGAGAGAGAGAGAAACATCAATGTGCGGTTGCTGGGGGCTGTGGCCTGCAACCCAGGCATGTGCCCTGACTGGGAATCGAACCTGCGACACTTAAGCTGGGATTTTGAGAGACCCCTGTGGGAACTGTGGGGACAGGGGACGTGGGAGCGGTTGGGGAGCTTGGGAGGGGGTGGGAGCTGAGGGAGGGAGTGTGGTGACCCAGACGTGCTGGTGACGGCAGCAAAGGCCCCCCCGTGGGTGGTGATTCCGTGAGACCCCCAGGGTCCAGCCCCACAGGAAGACTGTGCTGGGCTCTAGGTGCAGAGGCCAGGTGTCCCGAACTGGTTTGCGCCTAGAAGGTCCCTCTGGCTGCTGTGGGCCAGGCCGGGGTGGGGAGGGCAGGAGAAAGGGCTCTCGAGGGCAGGCGGAGCAGACCGGGGACCTGACTGACACCCCTGGGGGGTTGGCACAGGGCGTCCGCGCAGAGACTGGCCTCACGGCACGGGGGACCGTCCCGAGAGCCAGCGCTGGGGTCCCTCCTTTTCTTCTAAGGTTTTCTTTTTTTTCTTGCCTTGAAAGTTCCTGGAACAGATCCTGTGAGCTGCTCCCAGCGGGGCCGGCATCCTGGGCCTGCAACCTGATCCTTGACGGGAGCCCAGAGGTGAGAGGCCCAGGGGCCGGGCGGGCGCCAAGGGCTGCCCTTCCAGAGAGGAGCTGGGCCGGCCCAGGCGCGGGGCTGGGGGGCGGAAGGAGGGTGGGCAGCCGCCGAAGGTCAGACTCTGGTCTGCCTCGGGGATGGCGGGCCCCCGGTGCGCGGGGCTCCCGCTCTGCTCTGGTCCAGCCGTCTCCCCAGGCTGGCAGGTCCGCGGACACTCCCGCACCCCTCCTCCAGTGGGGAGAGCACCCCGGTAATAGTAACAGCCACAGAGCGGACTCTTCCCGAGGCCGAGGGTCAGGAGCGTGGATTCCGGCACTGGGCAGCCTGGGCCCCGACCCCAGCTCCACTGTGCACGGCTGGGTGCGGCTGGGTGGCTTCTGTGCCCGGTTCCCTCCTGTACCTGCCTGGAGGGTTGACCTGGGTGTTGTGGCCCAGAGTAGGACAGGCCTTGACCCGATCGTCAGTGGGTCCCCAGGACTCCGGTGGGCACCGGCACTCTCCCCTTCTAAACTAAGGAGGAAACTAAGGCTCAGAGAGGCATGGTCTATGCCCGAGGTCACCTAGTCAGCAAGTGGCAGAGCCGCAGCCCAGACCCTTTTCCATGGCACCAGGCTGCCTCTCGAAGGGCATGTGGCCATGACCGTGGCCGCAGCCCTGTTGCTGTGCCTCCCACCATTGTTCGGCAAACCCTCCTTGGCAGTGTGGGGCACCAGGGTCACCCAGACCACGTTCACCAACCACCCCCAGGTCCTCTGCCTTCTCAGGGGACAGGAGAGAGGGCAGACAGGCCTGCAAGACGCAGCTGGCACAGGCGCGGCCTCGGGGACCAGGCTGCCGAGCCTGTCCCCCTGAGCTCTGCAGGTCCTGGCCCTGCCTGGCCAGGTGGCTTTCCTGGCTGCTGCGTGGCCTTAGGCGAGTCCCTGAGCCCCCCCCCCATGCTTCAGCCTCCTCAGCTGCAGGATGAGGACAGGGGAGGGCCTGTCTCATAGGGTGTCCAGAAGTGTGTAAATGCTCAGAAGGGCGCTGCCACGGACCGAGTGCCCACAGAGCGTGTTATTGGCACCTTTCCGACCATAGCCATGGCAACGATGACAACCACGCTGCTGCTCGTTACCTGGGGAAACCTGGCCCCCGTAGGAGCTGGGAGAAGGCCAGGGCAGGGTCCTCGGGGCGCAGAGGGAGGACCTGCTCCCGGCTCCGGGAACCCTGAGGCCGAGGCTCAGGGTTTGCCCGCAGCGGGCCCTGCAGCGAGCCAGAGGGACCGGGCCCCGGGTCCTGGCTGTGAAGGCAGCGCCCCGGGCCCGGAGCACAGACCCCGGCCGCGCTGGCTCTAGGCCCTCCTTCTGCGGAAGCCGCCCGCTCGGCTGCCCCCGGTCAGCCGTGGCCAGCCGGGGCCGCGGTCTCCATGGCGCTGTGCACACACAGAGAGCCCGGGGCTGCATCTGGGCTCCCCTGCAGACTCGCTGCGTGACATCGGGCAAGCCCCTTACCTCCCGGAGCCCCGGGTTTCTTGCCTGCGGGGCGGGGATGGACTGCTGTGAGACAGGCGGCGTAAACGCCCGAGCAGCACCTGCCCACACACGCTTAGTGCCACCTGGCCATTTCTTTCCAGAATAATTGGGAGGCGGGGTGGGGGGAGATAGGGGGAGGGGAGGCTTTCACACCCAGAGCTGTTACACAGGCACAGTGCCAGCCCTGCCCCTTCTTGGGGACTCACCCTGCTCGCACCCCTCCCAAGGCAGCCCCTTCCCGTCAGGTCAGCGGTTGGCAAATGACGGGGGCCCACCGGCCAACACCAGCCTGCTGTCCGCTTTTGTAAATAAACCTTTATTGGCACAGAGTCACGCCCATTCTTTTACACGCCGTCTGTGACAGAGCTGAGTGGTCATAACGGAGACCATACATAGGACCCGCTGGGTCCGAAATGTTTACTCCCTGACCCTTTACAGAAAACATGTGCCGACCCCAACCTGAGACAGGGTGGGCGCCTGGCGGGGCCCCACCTGCCTCGCGGTCCTGCTCTCCCCTCTGCCCGCACCCCCACCTCGGAGGAGGACGCGTCCCCAGGCCTCCCTTGCCTGCCCCAGCGGCCGGCGGCCACATCTCTGTCCCCCTTCCAGTCTCAGATGCTGACCGCAGCGGACGTCGTCAACATGTCTGTGATGTGTCGGGACAGGGAGAAGTGGCGGTTGGCGATGACCCAGAAGTTCCAGCCCTTTGAGAACCGTGAGTGAGGAATCCAGGGTGGGCGCAGGGGTGGGCGCGGGGGGTCCGCCTCCTTGCCTGCCTGCTCTGTGGGATCACACTGCTCCAGTCTCTCCCCATCATCTGCCACACCCGCACCTCACGAGTTCACGGCCCGCTGCCATTGGGATGGAGGCCCAGCTCTTTACCCTGACACTCAAGGCCTGGCTTCCCCCCTCCATGCTAAAGGCCAGCTCTTCGGACTCAACTCGCCTCTCTGTGCCTCTGAGCCCCTGCACGTGCCAGTCACAGGGTCTAGAAGGCTCTTCTCCCCCAGGAGATTCCCACTCACCCTTCAAGTCTCAGTGAAAAGCCACCTCCTGCAGGAGGCCTTCCCAGACTTCCCAGCTTTTGGGCACCTCCTCTTCCAGGGCGTTTTTGTCCTAGGTCGTCAGTGGCTGATGATGGGGCGGTCTTCCTTACTGGGCTGGAAGCTCCCTGAGGGCAGAGCCTCTGCCGTCCCTGTCTCTATACTGAGTACTTAGCACCGAGTCTGATCTGGGTGGTGCTCTGGGAAGGTTTGTCGAATGACTGAGAGCCTGCCCCATGCCCAGCCCTTCCCGCCTCCCCGCAGACCTTGCTCTCACCGTCTCTGCGGAGGAGGAGGGGCAGAGGGTGAGCCCCGGGCCCCGCTCTCAGTGCAGCCCTGCCTTCACTGTCTCCTGACCGACACAGCACCGAACCTGTCTGAGCTCAGTGTCCGCATCTGCAACACGGGATAGTCCGTTACCTGCCGCCCGTGGTTGCTGTGAGGAGTCTGCAAGCCGAGACTCAGAAACTGCTCGGCCCAAGCTCCGTAAACATTCGCTTGTAGCTCCGTCTGTTCGTGGGGCTCTGCAAAAAGTCCCAGAATGACGACACTGTGATCCATTTAACTTCGGAACCCTAAAACCGTCTCACTGCCTGAGACTGAGGACGTTGGGTGGAATGAGGGAAAGGGTCGCTGAAAACTCTCAGAGCGTTCCTGAGTGCAGAGAAAGGCGTCCCTCATTCATTCGTCCGGCAGAGATGTAATTGAGCGCCTGTGACCTGCCGGGTGACGTCGCAGGCACCAGGGGCCCGTGAGAGAACGGGGTCCCTGCCCTCGGCGAGCTCGTGCTCGGGGGAGGGAGACAGGGGGTAAATAAAGGACCCCAAACAGGGGCTCGGTGTGTCCGGCGGTGACAGGGCAGGGAGATCACTGCAGCGGGTGAGCGGACAGAGAGGCGGGTGGCCGGGGGAGGCTTCTCTGCACAGGTGGCGTTTGCGGGGTGACCCGCGGGTTTCTGGGGGGGGAGGGCGTGCCAGGGGGAGAAACAGCAGGTGCGAGCACCCCTGGGCTTCATCGTCTCGGCGTCAAGATCCAGGCCCCCCAGAGCGTTCTCCCCCTTCCTTGCTCCCCGCTCCAGTTCGCCTGATGGCACCGAACTCCCTCCGTGTCACCCACCTGGAGACCCGCAGCTGCAACATCACCTGGGCCATCAACCAGTCCTCCCACTACATTGAACGGTACCTGGAGTTTGAGGCCCGGAGCAGGGACACAAGCCTCAGCTGGGAGGTGAGTATGGGGCCCAGGCCAACCCGCCCTGAGCCCCCCTCCCCGTGCTGGGCGCCCTGCCCATCGCCCCTCTCAGCAGAGGCACAGCGGCCCCCAGGCAGCCCCTGCTGCCCCTCTGTACTGCTGGCCTCGGCCTCTCCCTCCCTCCCTCCACGCAACCCCTGACACCCAGGGTTCCAGCTGGTGGCAGATTCCAAGCTGACACCAGGCGAGGTTGCCGTAGCCAAGAGACAGGAGACTCCCCTCTCTGTGAGATTTCAGAGGCCCTGGGGGGCTCCCTCCCCGTTCTTCAGATCCAGAGTGGTCCAGGCCCACGGGGGTCTGGCCTTACTCATTGACTCGTTCCTTTATTCACTCGCTCGGTCACTCAGCAAACACTATGCACTGCACGCTGGGGAGAGAGTGCAGGGCCAGACCGACGATCTCCCTGCTCTCGGGAAACTTACATGGATGCACGTGGGGGTGAAGCAGGGGGGCGGGGGGGGCAGACAGTCAGCAGAATCACAGGAACAGGAGGCTGCGGGACACCAATAAAAGTCACCAGGGACAGGAAATGGGATGATGCGTCTAAGAGGGATGGGGATAGGCAACTTCCCGGGGACAGGTGACCCGGGAGGGCTGCTCTGAGATCGGAGGGTCAAGAAGGAGCTGACCCTGCAAAGATCGGGGGAGGGTGTTCCACGCAGAGGAAGCCGCCCCGGCTAAGGCAGAACACTGCCTGGGTGTTGCGGGGGGGGGGGGGGGCGGGGCGGGAAAACCAAGGGGAGGGTGCGGAGGTGAGAGGGTCTGCGGGAAAATCCCTCTCTCTGGCCGTGCGGAGAGGAGAGCCGGCTGCAGTGGGAGTGGTGGGAGCAGGGCAAGGAGGCCAGGCTCAGGCAGGCCTGAGCGGCGGTGGGAGCTCAGAGCGGGAGCCCGGAGGAGAGAAGGGGAAGGGTCCAGAGGAGGTCCTGGAGGTGGCACCAGCTGACTGGCAGGTGGCTTTGACTGGAGCGGATGTGTGAGAGGGAAGGCTTTAGGGTGAGCCTGGCGTTTGGGCCCCAGCAATCGGTAGTCAGGGGGCCTTTGGGGGGGTGGCTGGGGTGGGGGGAGGAGGTGGCTGGAGGGGAGAAAGGAAGGCGTTGCTTTGCTCAGCCCTGCTGTGAGAGGTGAGTGGGCAGGGTGGGCGGTGGGCGCCCCTCCCCTTTGACAGCTCTGTCTCCACCCCAGGAGGTCCCCCTGCTGACCATCGGGCAGAACCAGCGGTGGATCTACCTGGAGACCCTGGACCCGGGCACCCAGTATGAGTTACAGGTGCGGGCCAGGGCCCAGCGAGGCAGCAACTCGACTTGGAGCCCCTGGAGCCGGCCCCTGGCCTTCCGGACGTTGCCTGAGTGTAAGGCGGAGCTGGGCAGGAAGGGGCAGCGGGGGGGCCCTGGGGGTAGTTGGTGGGGCGGGCTGGGGCTACCGTGCTTCTCCTCATCATTAGCTAGCTTGATGTGACCCTGCGGGGTGGGCATCGGAGGGTGGGAGGCATGTCTGCGCTAGTTTTACAGACAGGAACGGGGACTCCGCGAGGGGACGGGGCGGCCCACAGCCTCATGAGATAGTGGGGAGGCCGAGAGGCTGAAACCGGGAGGTGAAAACTCACTTTCTCCACCTGGGACCTCTCGCTCCGGGTTTCTGCTCGGGGCAGCTGCGGGCTGCTTTCACCTCCCGGCCTCAGTTTCCTCATCTGTAAAGTGGGTGCCATGATGCCCTGTGTTGGCCCGGCAAACAGCAGCTCGGCTGGGCCGGTTGGGATGCTGGGAAGGCCGTGGGTCAGAGATCGGCCCGCCCGCAGCACCAGCTGGGTGCGGAGTGATCTGGGCGAGCCGGGGCGCCTCTCTAACCCCTCTCTCCCTGCCCCTCCTCCCACCACGGCAGCCCCTTCGCCGGGCCATATCATCGTGGGCCTCAGCGGTGCCTTTGGCTTCATCATCATAGTCTACCTGCTAGTCAACTGCCGGTACCTCGGGCCGTGGTAAGAGCGCCCGCCTCCCTGTCCGTCCCGCACGCTCCCCTCGGACACACGCACTCCTCGCCAGGTCACGTGCTGGGCTGAGCCCCCTGCTCGGACACGCCACCGCTCCCTCTGCCCTCCCAGGGGCCTGCCCTGCCTCTCCCCGTGAGCCCTCCCCAGAGGTGGAACCCACGGGAACAGCCTGATGTGAGTGGGGGAGGGAGGGCCCTAGGTGGGGGCCTGGCGGAGTGATACCCTCAGGAGCGTGTGTGCACATGGGCCTGTGTGTGTGTGGACGCACGCCAGCTGGTGTGTGTGTGGGTCCTTGTGGCTCCGTCTGGGTCCCGGCCGGCTCAGTGCCAGGCTCGGTACTGGGTGCTGGGAGCGCCACGCACATGCGGTCCCGTCTTCCTGGAGGGAAGGCTAGTGCTTGACAGTCAAACACGTACAGAGGGACACGCCATGACTAGGACGGTGCGGGAAGGCGCTGGTGCGTCCGCAGCAGGCCGCTGGGGGGAGGAGCCTCAGCGGAGGGGTGGCGTGGGGACCTTCCCCGAGGAAGCCGTGATTCCCAGCGGGGGGCGGGGGGGGGCGGTGGTTGATGGGGAAAGCAGGGGAGACAGCGTGTGCCAAGGCCCTGGGAGGCAGGGAGGCAGGGAGGACACTTCAGAAACTGAGAGCGCGGGGAGGTGGTTGTGGCTGGAGACCAGAAGGGGGTGGGGGAGGGGGCTGACCCGAGCTTGGACACGCGGGCAGCAGCCACGCTTTCTGGGGTCTCGAGGCCCAGAAATGTATGCACCGCATTTCAACGCTGGTGCATACAGACGCTGGAGCCCTCAGGCTGGAATTCGGCCCCCACTCACCCCTCCCCGCCCCTGGAGCCCTGGGGCAGCGCGCCCCCTGTCCCGGCCGCCGAGGACGGCCCTGACCCGGAGGCCCACGATCTGGCCTCTGTCCGAGCTCCCTCCTGGTTCGCTCTGCGCCAGCCGTCTCTGTCCCTGTGGTCCCATGGTCCTCCGCCACAATTTGCTCTTCCACAGAGCTCCTTGTCGCCTCCGATGGGTGGCAGCAGGGCACCCCGCTTTGTGTCGGTGTCCCCGTTAGAATGTCAGCTCCTGGAGAGCGGGCACCTTCCCCGTCGGCCAGTCCTGGGTCCCAGTGCCCAGCACGGTGTCCTCCCTCGCTGGGCATTCGATCCGTGCCGACCAGATAAATGCTCCCGTGTCGAGTGGCTCCGGGCCCTGCCCGCAGGGCTGTGGGCTGATGGCAGGACACGGTGGCCCCTTCCCTTCTCACCCTCCCCCTCCCTCCCTCCCCCCGTTCAGGTTGAAGAAGGTTCTGAAGTGTCACATCCCAGACCCCTCGGAGTTCTTTTCACAGCTGAGCTCGGAACACGGAGGAGATTTCCAGGTAGGAGTCCGGAGGTGGGGGGCAGAATCGCACAGCTGGCACGGGCCAGCTGACACATGGGCAGTGGTGCCTGGAGATGGGGCCAGAGTAGGAGCTTTGGCCCTGGGTGGGAGCAGAGGACCACTGAAGGGAGCACACTCGGGTGGGGTGGGGTGGGGTGGGGTGGGGTGGGGTGGGCCCATCCCCCGGCTCTGTCACAGCATTCTCTGGCAGAAAGGCATCCCCTGTTTGAGGCAGGCTGCCCGGTTCTAATCCCGGCTCCACCACTTCCTGGCTGTGTGACCTTGGGCAAGTGATAGAACAGCTCTACACCTCGTTTCGTCACCTGTGAAAGGGGGAGGAGCATAGTGTTACTCGTCCATGGCCCCGACGACACTGCTGGCCCACGGGCGGTGCTCAAGTGGCCCTCACTAGAATGGTCACCAGTCTGTTGACCAAGCAGGTCTTGGCAAGCAGAGCGTGGGCTGGAATTCAGCCCCGCCCCCACCTCCCAGAACCAGGTGCCCTGGGTATCCCCGCTTCCCCGCACAACCTGAACAAACCACCATCTACAATGGCCCTGACAAGGAGGCCCAGGATCTGGCTTCCCTCCTAGCTCCCTCCTCCTGGTTCACTCTGCTCCATGGGGTGCAAACGCTCCCCACGCCACAGAGCACAGACGGTGCTCCCTCGGCCCCTGCACAGAATCCCAGGCAGGCCCGTCCTTTCGCACAGGCGCTCAAAGTCCTCTAGTCACTTCCGGTCACAAAACACAGATGCATGTGGGTGGTGCTGGCCCGTGGAGCAGTAACGCTCTGAAGCCAGAGTCGTCACCTCCCCTCCCCCAGTCCACACCCACCTCAGGAAGGAAGCTTCAAGGGGGAAGGGGGATGTGGTGGGCTGCCTGTACCACCCTACCCGCCCCCCACCTCAGGCTCCCTAGATTTGTGGGGGATGGGGGAGGGAGGGCTGGAGGGGGCTCAGGAGGAGTGCTGAGGGGCTGGAAGGCCATCCTGGACAGGAGCTGCCATGAGCTGGCTTTGGAGTTTTCTACCAGGGCTGGTCCGGGCCCCTTGTGGAATTTTTTGGAACACTCAGCCCTATAGATAGTGAGCTCCCCACCAACAAAAGTATGCAAGAAAGCCTGGCTATGCATCAAAAGATAGCTGAAGGGGTTCCCACACTGGACCTGGCTGGACGCTGAAATAGATGCGTTCTCAGTCCTCCGCCAGCTTGCGGTCTTTCTGATTCTGGGGCCTGGGCATTCTGAAGTGAGAGTGGGGTCCTTCCCACAGAGCTGCAGACCACTCCATCTTCCCAGGAGGTCACCCCCAGTTTCAGACTCCTGCCCCAGGCCTCGAGTGTGGAGTTGTCCCTGGGCACTCACCTGTGGCTGGGGGTATGGGCTGGCCAAGGGGGACCCCCGCTCATCCTCTGCATCTGAGTGGGGAGCCTGCTCCTCTTCCTCTCCCCAGGGGTTCTCTCCCAGGACCCTGGCTGCCAGGCCACAAGGCGCACTGTCCTGTCCACGGGACCTGGAGTGCGTGCCAGTGTGTGGGTGTGCACGCAGGGGGACCAGTTTCCCTGGCGCCCCCTCCTCTCTGCTTTCAGGGCGTTGTGGAGAGAGGCCCAGGCCCAGGAAGTGGCTGGCCACACACACGCCCGGGAGGGGGCCCGGGGAGGCCGGGCACACCAGCGCTGGCCCCAGGCCCGGCCCCTCCCCGGCGCTGCCCTGCCCTGCCCTGCCTCTGCGGCCCCCGCCTGGCCTGTGCTCTCTCCCTCTCTCCCAGTTGGCTCCCCTTCCTTGCTGTCCCCGGTTTGCTCCAGGGTCTCTCTCGGGTTTTTCTCCTGTAATAAGAACCCCTGGTTTGGGGGACGGGGTAGATTTCGTTGAGTGGTGTGTGCAGGCGTGTGCACATGGGCACATATATATATGTACGGGGTGCGTGCACATGTATGTGTCCGTGCACCTGTGTAACAGCCCACATGGCTCCAGAGACTCTCTCTGGGGAGGGAGAAATGGGACATTTCTCTACTGGTCCATTAATTCATGCAAAATATATCGACTGGCCCCGCAGGCCTGGTGCTGGGCACAGGAATGCAGCGGGGAGCCCGCCAGGCCGGGTCCCTGGGCTCTGGGAGCTGCTGGGGCTCTCAAATGCCCTGCCCCCAGGGGTCGACTGCCCCCACGTCTCTGCTGTGTGGCCTGCATCTCACCTGGCACCTGGCGCCAGTCCTGCCTTCCTCTCCTCACCTGACAACTCCCTGCAGGTCCGCAGGGAGGAAGCGGGGGAGCGCGGCAGCTCACTGCTGTGGGATTGAGGCTGAGAGGCGTGGGGACCTGCCCAGGGTCACATGGCGGCAGCGAGTGAGGGCCAGGGCCGGAACCACGCCTCCCTGCTCTGGGCCTGGGCTGTCCGGGTTCTGAGGTGGCCACGGAGGAGTGCTCTGATGGGTGCATTCCTCTCTCTGTGGACGGAGGGTGGGGAGGTGGGGTGGGGAGCCCGGGGCAGTGGGAGGGAGAGCACATTAGGGGATATTAACTCCCCACCAGAGACATGTCCCTGGCAGTGTGGGGGGGAGCCTGGGTCCCTGCCGCATGACCAGGGCCAGGGCACATCCGTAAAGTGAACCAGACGCGCTCTCGGGCCCTTCCTGCCTCGGCGCTGGCTGGGGGATTCACATGCTCACGCTAGTCCCCGGCAGACCCGGACCTTCTACCCTTTGCTGCGTCCTCGGTACCCAGAGTAGCACAGGGCTTGGAGCAGGCGCTGGGGAAGTGGTCCCTTCTGGGGCCAGCATGTCCCCGGGCACATGCAGCGGGCTGGAAGGCCTTCGAGGGGGTTAGGAAGCAGGCGCCTCCTCTGACTGACCCAGAGGGCTCCCAAAGCACCAGGCAGGGGGCGGGGCTGGGGCCACAGCCAGGGAGGGCGTGGGGGCGGGGCGGGGGCAGCCTGGAGTGGCTTGCTGCCAGAGGAGTTAGGAGCTGTTGCTGAGAACCTGGAGGAGATTAAACTGAACCTCTCGCTTAAATCCTGCACCGGCCTGTCTCCCCGGCAGAAGTGGCTGTCCTCGCCCTTCCCCTCGTCCTCCTTCAGTCCTGGTGGCCCGGCCCCCGAGATCTCCCCGCTGGAGGTGCTGGACAGGGAGGCCAAGGCCACACAGCTGCTCCTGCTGCAGCAGGACAAAGCGCGCTCATCCTCCCTGGAGACCAGCGGCCACTCGCTGACCAGCTGCTTCACCAACCAAGGCTACTTCTTCTTCCACCTCCCGGACGCGCTGGAGATCGAGTCCTGCCAGGTGTACTTCACCTATGACCCCTGCGTTGAGGAGCCCGACGACCAGGGCGGGCCTGGAGCGCCTGAGGGGCCTCTCCTCCCACCCCTGCCGCCTCTGCCAGGGGAGGACGACGCCTACTGCACCTTCCCCCCCAGGGATGACCTGCTGCTCTTCTCCCCTACTCTCGTTGGTGGCCCAGGCCCCCCAAACACTGCCCTGGGGGGCACTGGGGCTGATGAAGAGAGGCTACCCCCATCTCTGCAGGAGGGAGTCCCCAAAGACTGGGGCCCCCAGTCCCTGGAGCCTCCCACCCCGGCAGCCCCCGACCTGGTGGATTTCCAGTCACCCCTGGAGAACGCACTGGGAGAAGCTGGGGAGGGGGGCTCCGGCCCTGGCCCTGGCCTTGGGGTGGGGGCAGGCTTCCCCTGGGCCAGCCCCCCCGGGCAGTGCCAGGTCAGAGCCCCCACCTTCTGCCTGCCCCTCAACACTGATGCCTACCTGTCCCTCCAAGAGCTCCAGGATCAGGACCCAGCTCACTTGGTGTAGACAGACGGCCAGTGGCGGGGCAGGTGGCCACCCACTGTCACTCCAGGCCCAGTTGGGGACTCTGTCGCCAAGGCTTGTCCTCTGCTGAGATACTCGGTGTCCAGCTGCCCCCTGGACATCTTTGCCCAGATGGCCCCCACCGGGCCCTGCGCATGGGGCTGTTCACTGCCAAACCGCACGTGTTGCTCCCTCGTCCTACGTCCTGCCCCAGCCAGGAACTGCCGGCGGAGGGGCACTTGGACCCCCCATCAATCATGGGGAGCCCTGGGTTTTGCCTCTGAAGCATCGCTCCTCCCCAGCCTGCAGCAGTTCCTCGAGGAGGAGAGATCTCGTGGCTCTCCAGGGTTGGCGCCCGGCCTCTGGACTGGGCTGCCCGCCCAGCCCCACCCCCTCTCAGCCCCCCTCACCCACCTCCCCGGGGCTGCCGGAACCCTCTTTCCAAAACACACGTGTGGCCATGCCATCCTTGTTTAGAACCACGCCAGGACTCCTCACTGTACCCCTGGCCTGGCCACACCCCTCCAGCATCACACAGGGTCATTCCCTCTGGGAACCCTCTGGACAGTCCTCCTGAGCCCCTTGGAGCTCCCTCGTGCCCCTACACCTCTGCACACGCCATTCTCTGTGCCTGGGTGCCCTCCTCTCTCGTCTGGATGACAAACCAGCTCCATCCCTCCACTGTGAGCGCAGCTTCCCCTGGAGGGAAACGCTGCCGCCCTTCACGTGCCCGAACCCTGGGATTCAGTGCAGGAGGGACCAGTTCTCCAGGTCACAGGGCGGCTGGACAAAGAGGCCCTGTCCCTTCTCTTGGGAATCTCCCATGGCCGCAAAACGTTTGGCTCCTGCATCTTTAATGGGGTCCAAGCACGGACACACATCCCCCGCCAAAGTGGACCTCGGCCGGATCCTTCCGCAATGGCGTCACGGAGCACTCAGGCATGCTGCCGGAAGGAACCCCGCCTGGTCTTTCAGACAGCCCAGTGCTGGTCCCTGCTGCTGCCCCCTCCACTGCAGGGGTCTCTTCCGAAGCCGAGGGCCTGCTGGACCTCCTCCAGGAGTGCAGCTCCATCGCTGCACTTGGCACAGTGCACTTGACCCCGCCCCCCGTTGTGTTCCCCCGATAAATGAATGAGCTGTCTGGTGCCACCTTGCCTGGGCTTCCCATGCCCAGCTGCCTTCTCACGCACGGGGGCACCATCCACCTCATGAGAGCACCCTGGGCACCCTAACCCTTCTGAGGTCAGCACTCAGAGAAGTGAGGCCCCACACCCACTAGGTCCCAGCATCCCCGCTCCAGCAAGAGGCTCATCCCCTTACGTGGAAGTCCTCCCCCCTCACTTCCTTCTCAGGGCCTCCCGCCACCCCTCCACTTCTGTTCCCTCTGCCCCTGGCACTGATCACGCCGGTGACCTCTATCTCCCCACACCGGGAAGGCCCCAGCCTCCGTTACAACTGAGCAGGGAAAGTAAAGTGCCTATATTTATAGGCCTTGCTCGAAGCTGATTGGGCGCTTGACCCAGGCCAGCAACCTATGAGGTGGTTTAGAACAGAAGCTTTATCTAATCAGGGAGGCAAGGACTGCGCTGGCCAATCAGATTTCTCCCAGTCTTGGGCCTTTGACCGCAAGGAAGGAGGGAGGCCCCTGGACGCTGGCACACGTGGGGAAGGCACTGGAACAGGTTAGAGAGGCATTGAGCCCCGCCTCCTGATACAAAGACTCCTGCTGCTGAGGGGGCTACTGGCCGTTAACTCAGGATTCCTATTCCCTTATGGCCAAAATCACCCTTTCCTGAGGCTGCCCAAGTCTTCAGTTCTTACGATGGAATAGCTTAATTGCCCTACAGGGTCCCTTCCCACTCCCTGCCATCGGGTTCCTCGTATTCTGGGCCACTGGGTGCCGCCGTCCTGGCGCAGGCGTCAGACCCCTGCTGTGTGTGCTGGGGCAAACCGGGGAACCTCTGCGAGCCATCTGGCAGAGTCCTCGGGAGGGTGACATTTCTCAGCCTCGGTCACTGGTGTTACACAGATGTTCAATGATCTGTGTGCGCCATCTTTGATTCTGTTTACTTCGTATTTTTAAGTCAATGCACATTTTTGGTTATATCCTTTTATTTAACGGGAAATCTATTGCTTCTGTAAATGGAAAGCTGATATTCACGATAAATAAAAGGTAACTGTCAAAACTAAATACAATGAAACATGTTTTAATTCTTTGCCTGCTGGAATCTGCTCGGACTCTCAGTCAAAAGGGGAGATGGTAAGTGCCATGAAGCCGTTGAAGACATGCCAGCACGCAACAGAGACGCCTCCTTGAGAAAGAGCAAAAGGGTCGTAAAGGAAATATCTTTTTCACTAATAAGAGTCAGGTCTGCCTTATCCTGTGTCCAGGCATCATCTGACATGGTCTCACGGGAAAATATTGCACTTGACTTCTTTTTTTTTAAAAAAGATTTTATTTATTTTTATATTTATTTATTTTAATTTATTTATTTATTATTTTTATTTATTTATATTTAGAGAGGGAGGGAGAAAGAAAGAGAGAGAGAGAGAGAGAGAGAAACATCAATGTACGGTTGCTGGGGGCTGTGGCCTGCAACCCAGGCATGTGCGCTGACTGGGAATCGAACCTGTGATGCTTTGGTTTGCAGCCCGCGCTCAATCCACTGAGCTACGCCAGCCAGGTGCCCTTGACTTCTTACTGAACCCTGAATATTGAACCTTGGCTGCACCGAGTGTCAGCTGCACGTCCTCACTTCCGTGGACCTAATCTACCAAATGTGCGACGCAGCACCTGCCTCACAGGGGCCTTTCCAGGCGATGAGAGATGATGCTTGGGACGCATATGAGCGTTTTTTATTTATTTTTATTTTTTTCAGAACCCTCGACTCTGAGAAGTTGGACAGATCGTGGGCTGCCCCATCTGGCACTCAGAAAACTGCACTCCAGGCGGACTGCCGACGGGCTGCGCCTGCACATGGCGGACATCGCTGACAGACCGTGACCCGCCTTCCTCTGGAGCTTAGGCGCAGCCTTGGATTCTGTAGGCAGGTCCCGAATGATCAGAGCTGGCACCTGGTGGTGCCTCTGGACCAGATAACCCCTCGGGTTCCTTCCACAACAGAGACTCAGAATTTCCAGGTGGGAAACGAGATGATGGGGGTTGGAAAGCTGAGAGGGGACCGTGACAGGCAGGCACAGGGAACCCAGCTGGCCCCGCTGTTTCCGAGGAGAGACCCGAGCCGGCGGCGAGCAGATTAAGGGGCCACCGCACACCTGGAGGAGATGGTGTGATGGTCCGGAGTGCATGCAAGTGCGGCCTTGGGCGCTGGAACAAGGAGGGGGTGGTGGAGGGAGTGGAGGAGAGACGGGCCTGCGGGGTCGGATTGCAGGGGAGGGAAGCGGCACCAGCTGGGGACCAGGCAGCCCGAGGCCCGGAACCAGCAGGTGCGCAGCGGGAAGCAGGAGGCAGCCGGGCAGACGGGGGAATAGGAGCCAAGGGAGGGGAGGCAGGCGGGGCTTTCGGCCTCTCAGGTCCTCAGAGCCTTGAACCCTAATTGTCCCCTCCACACCCCAGTCCCCCAGCCCTTCTGCCCTCTGCTCCCCCCCCGTCCCCGCACCTCCGGCTCCCACTCCAAGCAGCTTCCAGCGCCCAGGCACCAGGGGAACTGTGAAAAATGACCACAACGAGGACAACTAACCCACCCTGTCCTAATCGTTGACATTCCGATGGCTCTCAAAACAGCCAAGAAACGCATGAGCAAGGGATGAGAACACTAACATTTATGTTTCCGACGCTGCGCCAGGCATCACCTCTCATCTCCAGGAAGGCGCCCTGTGAGGCAGGTGCCGGGCTGCACATTGGGCAGGTCCGGAGGCAACGGAAGCCCAGGGAGGTTCAGCCATGCAGCTGATGGGCGGTGCAGCCACGGCCCAGACTCAGGTACATGTGGTGCCACCGCTTTTGGCCCTTCGTAGACACAAGACAATTACATTCGTGAAAAAAAAAATAAGCAAAATTCCACTCTAAACGTACTGGCAACCCATGCAAAAGATTACAAGCAGCTCACATTCCATCACGGGCATGGTGGCTGACACCACCCCCACGCCGGTGGCCTGGCACCTCCGGGTCGGATCCCTGCTCGGTCTCCTCCTCGGTCCACGTGTCCCCTCTGGTTCCCCCCACCTCCGAGCCCTGCCAGGGCGGTCTTGCTCTGGCTGTGCCACACCCTCAGTGAAGCCTGCAGCGGTCCCCGTTGCCTTCAGGACAAGGGCGGGGCTCCTTAACGTGAGCCCACGATTGAGGGGCCTCGGGCAGGGCGCCTCCGCTCCTGTGCCTCGGCCTTCCCATCTGTGAATGGGGCAGTCAGGGGGCAGGGTTTCTAAGTGTCTTCTTAGCACCGATATTATGTGGTTTCAGGTGCCACACGAGATGTGGCTTGTGGCCGTGTCTACACGCACTTCACTTCAAGAGTGGGAGGCGACGGGCGAGGGTGCGGCCCAGAGTGGGCTCATTTAGCTCGACCTCTGCTGGTGCTTGAAGCCGCCCCGACACCCAGACCATCTGCTCCCGGGCTCCTACACATCCCTCAGGACCCCGCCCCAGCACCTCCACTTCCGGGAGGCCCTTCGATTTGTCCCAAGCGGGGCTGATGACCACCTCCTCCTGCCCGCTGCTGAATTCCTTTGGGGAAAGCCATCTGCTGTGCGGTGGGCCAGGCCCTGTGCTAGATTCGGGGGACACGGGGGAGATAATCACAGCTGCGGCAGAAAATCAGCCAGACCGCGTTAGCGCAAACCCGTCTTCAGAAGCCCCAGGCGCGAGGACCCTCTCTCTGCGGGAGCCTCCAACTGGGGCAAGGCGGGCGGCGTGTGGTCTGGGCCTTTAGGAGAAGGGCCTGGTCGGCGTCCCGCTGGTGTTGGGAGTAGGTGGTTGAGGACGGTCCTCGGGAGAGGAAGGGAGTCGCTCTCGCAGATCAGCAACCACTGTCTGGCAATTTGGGTTTTACCAACAGGCGGTGGGGGAGGGGCCGCCGTGGGGACGAGGCCTGTGAAGGCCGCAGCGGAACGCTTTCAACCCCTCAGCGTCTCTCCCAGAGCTGCGTGTGTGTGTGGAGCACGGGGTGTGCCTCGGGCTGTGGGCCGTGTGCTAAGCACCGCACTCGCTCCCTCCATCCCCCCGACAAAGCCAGAAGGGAAGGGGGTGGGGTGGGGGGGCTGCTCTTCATTGTCCAGATGAGAAGGCAAAGGCCGAGAGCGGTCTTGCGGGGTGTGTGTGGCTGGGACACGGTGCAGCTCGGACTGGAACAAAGGCAGTCTCCAGCGTGCACGGGGCAGGCCCTTCGTGGCTCTTAAAGGGCGTGCGGACACAGAGTCTCATGAAGTCTCTTAGCGACCTAGCGAGACAGGCATGATGGAGATTCTTGAGTCCTGCGTCACCGAAGAAGACAGGAGGCCCTGCGAGACGACGGGGCCGACACAGTGGGTTCAGGGGCCAGAACGGGGGGGACTGGAGCCCTGCGCGCTCACCCCTGCACCCTACTGTCTCATGGCCACTGTCGCCAGGGACGAGGGGTGGGTGTTGGGTTGTTGATTAAACTTCAGCTTAGCCCCAGCGGCCTCAGCCCGGCCCCAGTGACGGCCCGGGGACGTCCCCTTGCTGGCTTGCTCACAGACATTTTCCACCACCACAGCGATGACACACTCCGCTCCCGTCACAGCGCCGGGAGGGGGGGGTAGGGGGGGCGGTGGTGGCGTTCGGGACTGTGGGAACGTGCGGCAGGAAGTGCTGAGTGGGGAGAGAGGTGCCTCGGGGGGCGGGGGGTGCCCAGGCTGCAATTCCAGGAAGCCAGGGCACGGGGGGGAGGGAGGAGCTTGGGGGGACACACGCCGCCGCCTCCCATTCCTCCGTGCAGGGGGCCGCAGGCCAGGCGCTGGCCTTGGAGAGGAGCGCGATGACCGCCCCTTGTCTGCAGGGTCCTCGGCTCGTGGGGGAGGGAGTGACCACGGAGGGCACAGGCAAGAAGATTGGTAGCCACACCCTGCCTCTCAGAAGCACAGCACTCAGAGCCTTCACTGGAAAGGCCCGGCTTGGGAAGGTTCTGAAGAAGCCGCTACGTGTGGGAGGGGGAATGGAATCTGGGGCTTGGGCCACGGGGGCTCGGCCCAGCTCAGCAGGTTTGGGGTGAGCACGGCCCTCAGAAAGAGGGGGGAATTCTTAGAGATCCATTCCTTCATTCCTTCATTCCCTCAGCAGGCATTTGCTGAGGGCCTCTTAAGGGCAAGTCACGGCGCCAGGTACTAGGGATCCCACGGTGGACAGAACGCCCTCGACCCCACCCAGAGGGCCGTGCGGCCCCTCGGGGCAGCTGGTGTGGTGGCAGAAGCACGGACTCGGGACCCGGGCGGCCTGGACCAGGTCCTGCTTCTGCTGACTGCCGGCCGCGCCCCTGGGCTGATGCCTAGACATCCCTGTGCCCCAGGTTTCTCCTCTGTGAGGCAGGGGAAGTACCTGGACAGTCGTGAGGCTTCAGGATGTGAGTACATATGTAAAGTACTCGAAAGGGGTGGGGTGGGCAGGGACCGGGCCGTGACCGCGGCTGCAGGTGTGGATGCAGCTGGCTTGCTGGGGTGCCCCTACGATGCTCTCCACTGCCTCGGTGAGGCTGCTGGGGTGGGGCTCCCCCCTTGCCTGCTCCAGCCTCTCGCTCCTCACTCACTGTCTGTCTTCCCCACGTCTCAGGGCTCACAGGTTCAAGGTGCAACTCTCCCTAGCGGATCTGAGCACTTGAAAGGATGACTCTCTGATGAGGGGATTCTGGAGGGTGTAACACACTTCAGCAGCGACTCGAGGACCCAGGGTTACATGGCCCTTTGGAAGAGCAGCCCGCAGTCCACGGCATTGTCAACAACCAGCCTGTCCCCACCCCCGCCACCCCATGTGTAATGGGATGAATTGTGCCCCCCCCCCAAGACAAGTTCAAGGCCTAACTGCCCCTCCCACCTAAGAATGTGGCCTTATTTGGAAACAGGGGTCTTTGCAGATGCAAATAAGATGAGGTCATTAGGGCAGCCCCTCATCCATTATGACCTGTGACCTGTGTCCCTGTGAGAAGAAGGGAGGAGACACTGAGAATGACACAGGGGCAGGGCCATGTGACCACGGAGGCAGGGACCCATTGACATTAAGCT